ATACCACAAAAGTTCTAGTGACTCATATAGGAACTGTTAAATTACCCTCAGGACTTCTGCTATATAATGTTCTATTTGTTCCTAGCTTCTCCTTTAACCTTGTGTCAGTGAGCAAGCTCACTCATGATCATCCATTAGCCTTACATTTCCAATCTGATTTCTGCCAAATCCAGGACCTGCTAAGCATGAGGATGATTGGTTTAGCAAAAGAGAATAGAGGACTGTACCAGCTCACCTTTTCCAAACCAGACAAATACCTATCACTTCCATCACAACCTCAAGCAGCCAGTTCCAGTTCTTTCAATTTCTGTCCACAACAACTAGATCTATGGCATTGGCGTTTAGGACATCCTAGTAGAGATAGGATTTCTTTGTTGCAACAAACAAATTCTTCTGTAACTAGTCCTAAGCTCAAACATTGTGATGTCTGCCATTTTTCAAAACACAAGAAACTTCCCTTTCCTGTTAGCACCAGTGTTGCACATGATTTATTCCAGCTTGTTCATGTGGACATCTGGGGGCCTTTATCTGTTGTTTCTTATGATGGATATGCATATTTCTTAACTGTTGTGGATGATTGTTCAAGGGCTGTATGGGTTTTCTTGATGAGACACAAAAGTGAGGCCAGACCTCTTCTTAAAGGTTTCTGCACTTTGGTACAAAACCAGTTTGGCAAAAATGTTAAGGTGATCAGAAGTGACCAAGGTCAGGAGTTTAACATGTGTGATTTTTACATGGAACATGGGATAGAACATCAGATGTCCTGTATTGAGACTCCAGAACAGAATGCACGAGTTGAAAGGAAACACCAGCACATTTTAAATGTTGCTAGGTCACTTAGATTTCAGTCAGGACTACCCCTAATCTATTGGAGTGATTGCATTCTGCATGCAACCTACCTCATTAACAGATTGCCCACTCCAGTCCTTGACAACAAGTCTCCATATGAGATTTTGTACCAAAACCAACCTCCCCTTGCTCACCTTCGTGTATTTGGATGTTTGTGCTATGCTAGCACTTTGATCAGTGGTAGAACTAAGTTTGCACCTCGTGCTAGACAGTGTGTGTTGCTGGGTTTACCAGTGGGAATTAAGGGTTACAAGTTACTTGACCTGCAAACCAGGGAGGTGTTTGTCTCAAGGAATGTTGTTTTTCATGAATCTATACTACCCTTTAGAGTATCTTCAGAAACAGATTCCTCATCTTCTCCTGCAGAAGACTTGTCTTCCTCTTCTTCTCCCATTATTTCTCCTGCACCACCTGTCTCAGTTCCCATTGCCAATACACCTGCTGTTGTTGACTCAGCCTGTGATTCAAGGGGGGATTGTAGTAATAGTAGTTCTGAGCCTTCACCTTATAATTTTTCGTCTGGAAATAGAAGTGATGAGTTTACTCCTGGCACAGAACTTGAACCTGAAATAGAACCACAGGCAGATTACCAGGAACCCACTGGTAGGCCTACAAGAAGAATTGCTCTCCCACAGAGGTATCAAGATTGTGAACTTGACCCTCAATTGCAGTTTGGAGCTTTTGGAGCTGGTGTGACTAGGCATCCAGCCACTTTCAATTTAGATCATCTCAATGCAGCAGACAAAACCTATGCATTGAGTATTCTAACTTGTGTGGAACCTAGAACTTACAGAGAAGCTATCCAAATTCTGGAATGGAGGAGAGCAATCAATGAAGAACTTGCAGCACTGGAGGCCAATCAAACATGGGAAATTGTGCCATTACCCCCCAGATAAACATGTTGTGGGGAGTAAATGGGTTTTTAAACTCAAACTGAAGCCAGATGGAACAATAGAGAGGTATAAGGCCAGGCTGGTTGCTAAAGGCTTTACTCAGGTATATGGAATCGATTTTCTTGATACATATTCACCTGTTGCAAAAATTAACTCAGTGAAAGCCTTATTAGCAATTGCAGCAGTAAAAAACTGGACACTTGAACAGTTAGATGTTTCCAATGCTTTCTTGCATGGAGACTTAACTGAGGAAGTTTACATGGAAATCCCTAAAGGAGTGGAAATACCAGGATCAAGCAATGTGAGAATGGCCTGTAGATTAAAGAAGTCATTGTATGGTTTAAAGCAGGCTTCAAGGCAGTGGTTTTCCAAGTTGACAGGATTCCTACTGAAGAATAGTTTTTCACAGTCAAAGTCCGATTACTCTTTGTTTACTAAATGGATCCATGACAGAATTGTGGTGGTGCTAGTCTATGTGGATGACATTATTGTTGGAGGTAATGCACAGAAGGATATAGATCAGATCAAGAGGTCTTTATGTGGTGAGTTCAAAGTTAAGTTGCTTGGTCCACTGAAATACTTCCTGGGATTGGAAGTGACAAGAACAGCAGAAGGATTGGCAGTATGTCAGAGGAAATATTGTATGGAGTTGTTGAATGATACTGGTTTTCTGGAGGCTAAAGGTTGCTCATCTCCATCTGATCCTAATGTGAAACTTGCAGCAGGACAAGGTAACAAGATGGAAGATCCAGAGTTGTATAGGAGGTTGGTTGGAAGGTTACACTACATTACTATAACCAGACCTGATCTAACATTCTCAGTTCAACAGCTTTGCCAATTTCAGAAGGACCCTTACAGTGATCATTTACAAGCAGCTCATAGAGTGCTTAGATACCTCAAGACATCTCCAGGACAAGGAATTTATTTCAGTAGCAAAGCAGAATTGAAACTCACTGGCTTCTGTGATTCTGATTGGGCCAGCTGCCCTGACACGAGGAGATCCACTACAGGCTATTGCACCTTCATTGGTAGATCCTTACTCACCTGGAAATCCAAGAAACAAACTACAGTCTCTAGATCTTCATCTGAAGCAGAGTACATGGATCTTGCCTTGCTTGTCTGTGAGATTGAATGGCTAAGGAGTTTGTTAGCCGAGTTAAGTGTTAAGATACCATTACCTGTGACTGTTTATTGTGATAACAGGTCTGCCATTCATATTGCTGAGAACCCGGTATTTCATGAAAGGACAAAGCATATCGAAATCGATATGCATGTCACCAGAGAAAGGATCAAGGATGGATTAGTTCAACTGCAGCATGTCAGCACAATCAATCAACTTGCTGACATCTTCACAAAGAGTCTTCATAGAGTGCGAGTTCAGGAGCTACTTGGCAAGTTGGGAGTCTTGACAGAAGCCACAACTTGAAGGGGGGTGTCAACCAAGTGAAGAAATGGTGCTGCAGAGAAGTCCTGATGCTGTTAGGATTGCTACGAAGGAGAAGTTTCATTTCCAGAAACGTTTCTATTTCAGTTTCATTATGTTTAGTTGCTTGTTACAAACGCTGCCGTTTTGCTTCAGTTTGTTAGCCGTTATTAAGCACTGTTATGTTTTGTAATAGCCAATGGCTTTCTGCCAGTTGGCAAACTCTGGAATGTTTTGATTAGCAGTACACTCTGCTATATAATGGAAGCAGAGGCAACTCTCCAAGCTTGAGGGTTTGCTAATTCTCCAAACCTAGAATTGTTATGAACTCCGAAAACAGGGGGACTGCTGGGATTGGATGAAGGAGGTGATGACAAAGAAAGATGATGCCGATATTGTTGTTTGGGACGTATTATTATGGTTTCTGTGGAAAGAAAGGAATGCCCAACTATTCAATGGACATAAGCTACCTGAGGGTGAAATTGCAACTAGAGCAAACCTATTCCTGGAGGATTTTAATAGACACCAAGAGAGGGATGAAATTGAGCAGATAAATGGGGTCCGGAAGAAATGGCAGAAGCCGGCGGAGGGGTTTGTTTCGATCACGACTGATGCAGCAATTTTAGAAGGAGGGGGAGCTGGTTTGGGTGTGGTGGCTCGAGATAGCAGGGGCGACTTCATCTTGGCGGCGGTTAAGCGGGTTCGAGGTATATGGGAAGCTGAACAGGCTGAGGCTCTCACGATGGAACTAGGAATACAAACGGCGACATTGATCCAGGCTCCTCGTTTGGTAGTGGAAAGTGACTGTCAAACTCTGGTGCTAAGACTGCAGAACTCGGTGGAGGATGTTACAGAAATGGGAATCATCTGCGGTAGCATCCAACGAGGGATCAGAAACATGGGAGAAGTTCGTATGACCCACATTGGTAGAGAAGCGAATGTTGCAACACATCTTATGGCTCGAGTGAATACTAGGTGGGATGAAAGGCAGGTGTGGTTCGACATACCACCATTGATGTTATTGGATCAATTACGGTTAGACAATGTAATCGATTCGCTTAATTAATAAAAGCACACAGGTTCCCGTCAAAAAAAAAAAAAATTCCATGGCATACCGCTGAAAACCACATACAATGATGCGAGGTTTTTCCTGCAGACTCACAAACACTAGTACCGCTAGGGGTGGTAATCGGTCGGTAACCGGTTAAACCGGTTACCGTTTGATCGGGTACCGGTATACCGACCCTCCTATTGCCTGTGTCGTTTACCGCTACCGAATATACTTTGATACACCGTTCACCGATTGGGACGGTTTCGGCATTTGCACCGGTTTCCCGTTTAACCGAAAGGTGACTGGCTGCAGAAATTTTGTGCTACGGACAGAGAAACTATTGCGGCAACCGGCAAGACTGTACCCTGCTTTTCGATGGGGCACGATGGTTGCTTTCACTGACAGTGAAACAAAAGCAATTGCGCCTACTGTATTGTCTTCCTTTCGTTTCTTGTTTGGGGAATTGGGTCCAAACTTCAATGTCCAGCTGTCCCTCTCTGAGACTCTGATAAGTGATAACTGATAAGAAAATGCCAAACAAAAACACAAAGAATCATATGGTTCTGCTTCCACCTGGCTATGTATCCATCTCTAGCTCTGATAAGAAAATGCGAAAAATTGAATTATGAAAGAACGGGAATATGAAAATTGAAACGATCATGAAAGAATCAAACTCAGCTATACAAGTTAGTAAGTTACCTACCTCAAATCAAATCGACGGTGAGACACTGAGACTTAGGACGAACTGCTGAACTGGAACTGTTGTTTGCTGGGCTGTGGGGTCATGGGAATTAGCTCCGACGGGATGGCGACGGGGTTCGACGGGAACAGGGCAATGACGAAGGGCTTTACGGAAACAGAGCTTGGCAGAGAGGATGAGGCACCCTGGGTTGCTGAGTCGCGTCTCTTGGATGGAGTTTGCACGGGCAACGAGCAGACGACGAAGATACCGCCGGTTTCGGTCGTCGGAGTTTGGTTGGATGAACGGAGGAGGGATTGGCGGTGTGATTCGTCGAGCTCGTGCAGCGGGCAGGGGAGATACTTAGGTGTTGCTAGCTAGGGCGGCCCGTGGCCGAAGTTGTTGATGTTTGATGGCTTCAAGCCTTTTCCAATCGGTATCGGAATACTGGTATGCCGACGGTGTTTTACCGTACCTATCTCGGTACACCGCCATCCAAATTTCCATCTCCGAATACCGTTTGAAACGGTTAACGATTTAACCGGTAACCACGATTATCGGTACGATTATCGGTTAAACCGTTAACCAGAATACCGTTAACCACCCCTAAGTACCGCTGATAGACGGAGCGGGTGCCTTCGCGTTTAGGACAACACCCACCCCTCAATCTCAGTCATTACATCGTAACAAAACAACCAAATACAAGCTTTAATTTGCATATCGTTGAATTTCTCTGTAAATGGAACTTCCTACTGAAATCGGAAGATCTCACCTGCTTGAAATCATCCATCAAAGATCCACCTTCAAAGTTCAAACCAGAAGCTAGACTACACTGGAATACGTATACTATGAAATGAAATAATATAAACCTTCCAGAAATGTCCATTACTAACAACAAAAAATTGCAACAATCGACAATGGCAAACCAAAAGCTCAGGAGGAGCTAATTACACTTGGGATACGCCAACGCAGCTACAGACATATACCATATACATGCATCTATAACTTTTCATTTTCCAGAAGCAAAAGCTCAACTACAAAACCACAACAACAAAAGAGGCTGAACAAACGCGTGATGTATCATGAACATGATGATTCGTCCATACCATTCGACTCTCTCTGCAAAACGTCGATGTTCTCGCATGCATCATCCGGTTCACTTGCCACGCCATCTCCCATTGCGCTCTGTGACAAGGAGATGAAGCCCAGGGTGGCCATATTACTAGCGATTGCATCAATGTCCCTGGCCCCGGAGTAGAGTCCTCGGCTGCCAGCCACAAGTATTCCAGGTTTCTTGACATCATCAGCACTGGCGGTGTACAGATCAGGCAACACACTCATTAGCTGCTGATTAGTGCTGGTCGAGCCGCTAATGAGCAAGCGAAGTGTCTCCCTCGCCCCAGTTTCCAGAGCTGCCTCTGTTTCACGCGAAGTCATTCTTGGGTTCGCAAATGCTGAGATGGTGGTAGGACCAGCACTCACAAGGTAGGCCGGACCAGAGGAACAAATGTCCATGGCTGGAATGTGAACAATTGGGTCGCATATCAAAGGGGTGAAGGTAGGGATATGTTGAGAAGCAGGAATAGGAAGCCGAACAAATGGCTCAGGGAACAAGGATGGGAAATCAAGTGATGGAGCATCCGGTAAGCCAAGATGCGGGAGTGGTGATAACAAGCTGGAGGAGGCAGATAACAAGGAAGAAAGAGGTGGAATCAAAGGTGTCTGTATTGATGAGAAGGGTACTTCTCCAGACTCTGTTGAAGGGTATTGGGATCCACTTAGGGGATGCCAGCAATAGTATGGTGAGAGGGCGGGTGAGTTTAGAGAAGGTAGTGGCCGTGTTGAGCTTTGAAGTGATGCAGCAAGACTTGAAGGCCCCACAAGAGGAGTTTCAATTTCGGCGGGCGACTTGCCATTTTCAGGTTTTGAATTTGCGGAATCAATGGACGATGGCAATCGTACTACCAGATTGTCGAGTGCTGACAAGCTGCTATCTACATGGCGTCTTAGCTTCTCCCGTCTCAAAGAAGAAGACAAGCAGCTTCTGTTTGGACCATCCTTGAAGGAACCTGACCGCGGACTGAGGCTACCTTGATAATGGCTGTTGCTGGACTTTGGTGGCTGCCCACTACTAAGGTGTCTGGAACGCTGCTGGGGTTTCAATGACTGGGAACTTGTAGAAACTGAAGATGAGTCACCCATAGTGCAGGTGAACAGGGCAGCAGCCGTACATTCTTTGCTGCTATGCCCCATGAGATATGACCGAATGTGGTTTGCGAAGCAATCGAGGCGCCAGTTGCTAATTCCAGTTAATTCTGCTATGGAAGGCTTCCTCTTCAGAATATCTTTCATCTGTTAATCAGAAAAGCAAACACAAAATTTGTTGTTAGCAGCTAGCATCATAACAAAACAACAGCAGTATTTACAAGTTTACCAACAATGTTGATATATCGAGTCTGAAATCTATACTAACATCTCTTGACTAAAACTCTACAAGCTTAAGGCAAGATTGTTCATTAATAGGAGTCATTCAGCTGAGAATTGGTACATCCATCTGCATACCTTGGCAATTAATTCGACTCCCAACAGTTTTGATTTTTCAGCGCACCAATAGTGAAAATCTGTACCACCAGCAACTTTTATTTGGAAAGACCGGCCTGAACTGTCTGCTGGGATTTCTTCAACCAAGATAGCTGAAGCATGGGATTCACCACTTAGGGTAAATATTCTTTCAGTGCTACCATCATCCCCAATGAACAAGAGTCGCAAATAAGACGTTGGCAAGACTGCAAGACTCAAATTCCCTCTGGAAATGAGGGGGAAAATAGAAGAATGTATCAAACAGTGAAATTACAAGCGAAAAATAAATACAGCAAGAGTAACAGGGGCAAGGCCACTCCTAGAACACACAGAAGACAGCTGTCTTGGGCCTAAAGGACTATAAGAGAGTGGTGTGCACCATTATGGTACACCTGAAACGCCAAGATACCTTAAGAAAAGCAAATCCAGCCTTTTTCCTCTTTTACTCTCACCAAAAAAAGAACAGATGAAATAGTGAATTGCCGGTAGAAGAAAGCTTTTATGGAGAAAAAAATTCCCAAATCAGAACACTATTTTGTGGTCTAGGCTCAAATCCATGATTCACATACACGACTGTATAGAAGCCGGAGATTATGATCTCCAAGATGAAGTTTTAAAATTTCAACATCCGGCAGGAAGCACATATAGATTAATAAGCTCACCAACAATCCTGGAAGAGAGCCAAAGCCATAAAATTCCATTTTTGTTTCCGCAAAGTACTTTTGCATTATTTTGGAAAGAACGAAAAAAAGATTCCATTACGAAGAACGTAAATGTACGGATTGCACTTGAGACTATCCACTGAATTCGTGCACAGACTAAAACATGTTAATCAACAAACAGAAATTACACTAAATCAAATCACAGCAGAACAATCCAAGAAAAGAAAACAACCAACCATCAGAGACAGTTCTCTATGAAAATAATGAATTTCAAATTCACATTCAATTCACTCATATTGTTTTGTTAACAATCAGTAAGGCAGGAAAGGCCACATAATTATTTAACATAGGAGATGAAACTACCTTTACTTCCTCATTATTCAGAGATCATTAACACGCCCACTTTACCTACAAGTGAAAAGATATTTTACTTGGAAGCATGAACAATTTCACCACATATAACATTAAACAGACAGTCCTGAAATTGCTACAGTTGATATGAGTTAGAATGCATAAATTTCACACTACTTCCAACAGTAACATCAAGTTAAGGCAAACAAAAGTAAACCCTCACATCACTTCTGCAAAGCGTCTGTTAAAGAAAAAATATCGACAGATAGGATATAGGAAATAACGCAATAGCAATTCTATAGAAAAACAGCACAGTAAGGCAATGGGAGGCATGCGCTGACAGAAAATTTCAAGGCATCTTTATCAAATATCAAAACCATAAATGAAAATTCTAGATAAGCCATCAACACTTGAAATCAACATTTACAAATGAGACACAATAAGCCATGCTAGGCTATCAAGTGGCTATGGCAGTATCTCTTATCTACAAACAATAAACAACTAGAAGATGCACTGATTTATAAGAATAAAATCTAGTCATAGCAGGATCCAATCACTCCGCACATCACACAAGTAATGAACCTCATGACTGCCAAGCATCACAAACTTATGAGGTGCAAATACAAAGGCCAGGTTTCAATTAATGACCTGTATTGGAAGTTGGAACTACTAAGAAATGCAGTATGAAAAAACAAATCCCTGTTATATGTTTGTACGTCAAGAAATGCATATATACATATGAACTTATAGGTTAACTGTTAACAAAATTGATATTCTCCTTAAGACCAGAACAATAGTATACCGAATGGTCTAAATTGGGGGCCTGCAGATGAATATTGAAGGCACGTTTGATGTAAATCAATACAAGTAACGCACTTCATAATATATGATACACTAACAAACAATTCGATAGAGTAACACATCAATATAGCTCAATTAACATATAAAAAGAATCCAACGTATAGAATTAATAATCGGACGATTAACCTGATAACAGACTACAGAATCAGAGCTAATAAGGAAGCAGCGCCAAACTTGGCGTTAGACCTAAACTGCTTCATTATATAACCATAATGGCAATGGACACGGTAAGCACAACCGAAAATGAATGGAATGGATCGTCATCCCAGACAGAGGTGCCGAAAGAACAGCTTCAGCTTATAATCACAGCCTCTCTATAACCCTAAGCATCAAATAATATCCGATATGCATACACCACATCCGCATTTAGCATCACGCAAGCAAGCAGACATCCATGGGAATAAAATTACCTTGCAGCTGTAGGGTAGAATAGGTTCCCCTGCTTGTCAATCTTCCCAACCCTGATCGAAACAAGGGGTATGCAAAAGCACCTCGCAAGCATGCCGACCTCCATGGCGTCAAAGTGCTGTCACGTAGGTAAAATCAAATCGTCAATTCCCAATTCCAACACATCGAAACCGCGAAATGGCATCCTTCCGCTGTTGTCAAATTCCAATCAATACTACCTGACTCAGATGCGCCAGAAGCCTATCCTCGGCAACGCCACTCGAAGCATTTGATTTCAACAGCGGCTTCAACCTCTCATCAGCGCGACAAGCGCCCACAACCTGCATATCGAGGGCCTGTAGCCACCGCAGTACCCCATCCTCACGATCACTTCGTTGAAGCAGCAAATCCCCGTCCCCTTCGTCCACGAGAATCTCCGTCAACCGCTCCGTCAGGCCAACCTCGCTTCTCCCCTGCGAAACAGCATCAGATCCAGCTGCAGATGCCTCGACGCCGCTGGAAATGGACGAAGACGAGTTTGATGACTCGTCGAACTCGTCTCCGGCGGAAAGGTCATCATCGCATTCTCGACTCCTCGAATTAGACATCTCGTGGAGTGGATTTGTTACAATTGAACCAATCGAAGACGGAATTCGAAATCGAAACCCTAGGAATCGAACACAATTCTCGGTCCCAGGGGCTATAAACCCAAAAGAAGTAGCAGTTTCAGATGGGAAGGCGGAGGATCGATTTGACAGCGGCCGGAGAGGACGACGATGAGCGCAAATCTGCAAACGGAGGGATACGCAGATGCCTTTCAAAAAAAAAATGAAATGAAACAAGAGACGATGGGATGCGAAATCTGCTTATATAGTAGTCCTGATGGACGCGAAGGCAATTATGAATTTAAGTTTTCGTCTAAAAATGGTTTCGAGTCCGCAGGCACCAATTTGCTTGCATATTCCACGTCAACGGGGCGAGCTGGTGGTGTGGGCCCCATCACCACGTCACGGGAAGAGCCGACTTTTCCTCCGGATTGGGCCGTGGACCGAACGCCGGCCCCAGTTGGGCAGGATGGGCTAACGTACGCTGAGGAGAGCCAGGGTGCACCATGAATGGAAGTGGATAAAGAAAAGGTAGGTAAAAAGCATCCATCCATATGGAGCAATCATAGAGCGGTACCATTTCATTTCTAGGGTTCGTTACGTTTGGCAGATTTGATGAGGTCACGCATAGCATTGTTGAAATCTCCCTCTTAGATGGTCATAATCGATTCTTGTTTTTAAACATTGTTTGTAAAATCGTATTCTATCGGTAATCAAAACGAAAAAAAATCTTCAATGAATATACTGTTTTTAATAGTATTATTAATAATTGAATTAGAGTTAAGCAGCGAATCAGCGTAGAATACCCTACGACTAACTTTTTCAGTACAAATGATTGTTTTTACCACTCGAATTACCATAATTAACCGTTAGACTAGGTTTTACCATATATAGGCAACAAAGTCCTTTACGTCTCTTGATTAATCATGCCACTCCACCGGCAGGAATGAATTTCTGACCATATATAGTAAGCGAGAGCGACAGGCGCTGCAAGTGAATAGAATTATTGGTGTGAGGAGATGCTCACTCTGTGAGACGGCGACAGTGAGGGCCGGGACTGATTAACGGGACCGATAGGGACAGACGGGCCCAGCATTGGGCCCGCCAATTCAGCGACACAAATATTTTCCTTAATGTGGGCCCTTTCCACAACGACTCGATATCATGGCGCTGACTTCTTGTAGTTGGATTACACCTGTCATCACTCATGAGTCCTGAGTCATGACACAGTACTGAGAAGTTGGGCTAGCTCATAATATAAAAACATAAAAGATCCACATCACTTACATAAGTTGAAGGCCCAAGCCCAACACAAAAGAACTCCGACAATTGAGCTCAAATGTTAGGAGCAGAGTTTTCACCTACAAGGCTGCAACTGCAAGCAACCAAAACGACTACCAATTTGGATCATGTAGCACTAAAGAGGGCATTCATTCGAGATGGCAGAAAACGATTCTCAAGACAGAACTGCTTCAGCTGAGAGTAACAATGGATGGTCCAAACAGATAATTCAAAGTCTATTTCCTCCTCTAGGCTGGAAAGTTGTAGTTCTAAAGCAGAGCATGATACCACTGGAGCTAATGTATGCTTTTTCACCTAGGTCATCAAAGTAATCGGATTTTAAATAGATCACTTGCTCTTCTTTGCTTCCCCCGAGTACTGGTCTAATAGGGAGTTAACATCCTTCCAGAATAGGCCTTCCACCAGAACTCCATCCTTTGTGAACCTGCAAAATGAGGGTCAGATACTACATTATGATTGTGCACTGTGCTTCCCGAAGATCCAAAGCTATGGCCTATGAGGCAGAGTACATAGGTGCAAAGGTTAGAGAGAGAGAGAGAGAGAGCAGAGACGTGCCATTTTGTAACACTTTTAGTCAGGTCCACTGTCTTCCCAGCAGAAATCGACTTTGGATCAGCACTTGCTATAGTAAGTGTGTAGTCGTCAGCGAATCTTGGTAATTTGGAAGTGATCATCAAACCAGTACTTGTGTAAGATCCCTACACAAAGAGAAGTAGCATCAGCTTCCATCTAAGTTCAATTTCGTATCATATAGTGTCTAAGATTACTACACTTTCGGGTTGCATTCCAAACATTCAAATCAGCAACCTAATATACATTGTCAGTCCAATGTGCATGTTTCTTTCCACAACAACAATGTTTAAGCGATCTTGTCTAGCCAACCTACGACTGCAGTTTTCTATAACAACGCAGTTTGAAGTTAATTGTCTGAAAGATAAACACACTAAAATTAAGTTTAATTCAAGTTACTGCTTCAAAGGACTCACTTTACCTAGTAAAGTGCAGAACGAAAGCAAAACTATTGGTTAAAGGATGTATAGCTAAACCCAAGAAAGATGTCCACATCGGGCGTAATTTTCACAAAGAATCATATATCTAATCCAACACTGTATTGATCCATAAGAACTTTGGCAAACAGCAAGACGCAGAATCCTACCACAGGGAAATCAATCACCAGCCTCGACCAACTGCCAATAACAAAAGTACAACAAAAGGGCACAAGATACCAAACTACCTATAGAATCCTAAGTAACACAAGACAATTAAGCAATGAGAAACTAGGTTGACTACGTACTTCAAGGAGTACAAAAAGAAGAGCTAAAAACACAATAACCGTTCACAGAAACGCAGCAGATGGGGAAAGAGCTAAAGGATAGCTCCACAGAGAGGTAAAGCTAGATGTAGAATTGTAAAAGTGTTGTGTGCATCTACTAATACATGGAAGACAACAAAATACAGAAGCATAAAGGCCAGCTAAACATTTCAAAGCCATCTAATGCAATCAACCAAACCATACTTCGGAACATAAGCTCTGATTGCAAACAATTCAACACGAGTACCAATCTCTAGTACCAGAAAGAAGAAAGATTTACCTGAGGAGGGTAAGTGAACAAGATGGCGTTCTTTTCCTTCACGAATATGATCAGCTGCAACACCACGTTGAGGACTACATACTTGCCCTAGTCAAGGATCCAACAACTTAGCCATCCAAAACAAACCCGGAATTCAATTCCCAAGACTCAAGAGAGTTGGAACATATAGACAGGAATGACACATGAAGTACAATTCTAGGATTAGAATCAGACGAAACAAAATTTTGAGGCGAAATCAGCTACTGAATCTTTAGATCAAACGAAGAAAGGATATAATACGATGCAACCGATCAAAAAGTCTCTGTTCTCGGGGAACTTCTTCTTGTAAAACTGAGCCACGAGAGCGACGGCAATAATGACAGTCCCCAGCAACAACCTGACATTGCTCATCCTGACATCTTCAGCGTATCCACGACTCGCAACGATCTACAGAATTCACCCCCAACGGGGACGAGAACGGAAGAATAACATCGGGTCAGGAATTCAGGAGCAATGGAAATCCAACTGAGCGGATTGTTAGGGTTTTGTTTCTCACCTCGGAGACGGATTCGTCGAGAATATGCTTGATCGAGTGGTGATCTAGAAGATTGGCCTTCTTCTGGTTCTTGTTCGCCGTCGGCTCTGAATTCTTCTCCATGATCGCCGCCGGTTGTTCTAAGTTCTAACTGAGGGTTTTTCGTTTGGAGGATTTGGGAGCAGCCTTCTCACCGCTGTTGTTTTGTTACTCTTAGTCGAATGGTAAAATGGTGGTCAATGATCCGGCATCCGGAATCCGCTGTTGTTGTCCGGTGTTCTAACGGAAGCGACGTCGTTTGCCGCGAGCAAAACTTTTTTCTCTTATATCCGGCTATTGTATTGGCAATACTCGTCACTGAAAAAAATTAAACGGTAAAAAACAACAAGCTAAATGCAATTGATAGCTCAGTGTTTTTTTAAATATAATTTAATATCCAAACCTTCTATTTTTTACAATATAATAGCCAAATCTTTTCGAAAACAATCTAATATCCAAATCGTCAACTTTCTGTCTGTTTGACTGTTAGTTGACACTTCAAAAAAGTTCGAAGTACGACACTTCATCAATATCCATTGATATCTTCTCTGAAAAACCACCAACATATCGTAGTTCCAAACCCGAGAAGTCCATGACTCCACCATGATGGTATAGAATATCTAAATATTCAGTCATCTGAAATGCCAAAACAAGAAACAAAGTTGTATTGTGACAATTTCCCCTAAACAAAGCTTTTTTGAAGTGTCAACTAACGGTCAAACGAACGGAAAGTTGACGATTTGGATATTAGATTGTTTTCGAAAAAGTTTGGCCATTATATTGTTTAAAATGAAAGATTTGGATATTAAATTGTATTTATTTTTTTATCCTAAGTTCTAACTGAATCATATAAAAGTAAGCATCTCGACTATCAAGGAATGATGATCCTTGTCAACTTGAAAATCAGTTACCAAATTGTTCAGCGTGATAAATATATGTCAAAAAGAGCATCAAGTAGCACATCGGCAACTCATTGGACCTGCCATGTAATGAATCAACGTTTGATCTCAAACATGTAAACAGTAAACAAGAATGAAGATTTTGTGTTTTTTAGAAAACTCAATTATTGTTTTGATTTACAAAATGGATTGGACATGGAATAAAATAAAAGTTAATAATTTATGGTTCAATGTTTAACAACTAATAGAATCGCTCATGTGTCATCTCATAAAATGATTCAACCTATTTCATTAAAAAAATCATAAAAGGTTATTAAATTCAAGTTAGTATTGAATGACGATCGAGAGTAGACAACGTAAAGAAGAGGAAGAATAACAAGTTTTTTGTGTGGTTAAAATAGTGACCAGTCAATAAGAATTCATTGCAAATGAACATAATAACTACTGTAACTGATTTGCCTGTTTTACTAGCCAACCGCTAGTTCAGTTCAATTGGGATTATTAAAGATACACAAGTTATAATTAATACCAAACCGCTTGCAGATTACAGCACTTTTAAACCATGGCAGCCAAGCTGTCTGAGCGTCAACAGTAATGACAAATAAAACAATCGTAAGGTAAATCTTTATTATCAAATTTCGAAAGCCTAACAATTGGCTGTATGGATTTTGATTCAGGAAAACCATAACATGAAGAGATTGCAGGAGGGAATGTAACAAACTGGAGCTGTTAAGGATGCTTTGATTTCAGTGCTTTACTTGCAGCACCTCCGGTGAGTACGAAACGGGCCCCCTTGACGAGTTCTTCCTTCACCATGAACAACACAGCAGCCGCTAACACGCTCTGACAGATCTTCGTGCTCATACCTTTGTAAAAACCATGGAAACCTTCATAGCGGATCATCTTCAGGATAGCATCTACCGTACCTGAATTCGAGAGTAGGGCAGAACAAAGATTCAATCAAGTTAGAACGTTCTTTGCTTGCAGAGGGTTTCAACTGCTAAAACAATATGACTCATGCAAACTTCAGAAAATAACTCAAGCAATGCAGAATCCTTCAAACCTTTATAGTGATGCTTTTTATCTCCGGTGGTAACTTGTTTAGCTTGAAGACGTGACTGCAAAAAACAATCAATTCCCAACTTAGAAGAGGTCCGAAGATGAAAATAAATTAAACATATATATTTCTCGATACAACAATGGATTATGCCGTTGCAACATATTACGAGGGTTGATCTTCGCTGCCTAATACTCCAGTAAATAGTTCTTTCCTGACTTCTTAATATTTCGAACCATGGATCTTGTCCAAAAAGAATATATTCAAACACAGAAACACTGGTGTCAGATGAAATGTGCATACACGGAGTTAGCTCATTTCATTTTTACCTTAACAACAAGAAGAGGATAGGTTACGACAGTAGCTCCCAGTTTAGCCAATGCTCCGAAAAGAAATGTCTATGAAAATCAGACAGAAGCAGAGGTACTGTTACTATGCTGTCCATGCAATCAATACAAAGCAGGTGAGGGGAAAAGCAACCCGAGAAAGACATCAAAGCCTCAAGCTATATATGCAATGCAAACCTCCGCAGCAGTTACTCCATTTCCACCCTTGTTAAGCAACACACGTCGTTGTTTCAACTTCTTTAGCAGGGTTTCATATATCATGAATTGTATTGCAGGATTGCTCACCTGATAAACAAGACATAGGATAATCATTGATAATCCATCCCGATCAGATTCAAGAGTGTACAGTAACGTACCATGATTAGTGTTGGTAATACACCTTTCCAGAAACCTGGAATACCAGCTTCATCAATGATTTCTTGAATCTGCAGGAATGAGAAAAACTACTAAAGGCCACAAAGAACACAAGAACCACAGCACGTACAAACTTTTCTTTTATTCAAATAGCAACAAGGCTGATGATGAGCAAAATAAATGTACAAACCGCATTAAAAGTTCCAAATGGAGGAGGATCAGTTGGAACTATAAGCTTAGCTGAAGCATCTGATGAGCTACTAGGTTCTGATTTCTTTGCAGCCTTTCTGTGAGTCTGTAGAACAGAAGTGATTCAGACTATAGAAGTAACAAGAGTAACAAAGTATAATCACTAGGCGGGCGACAATTCAATATAGGGCAAAATAAACAAGCATTCATGGATCTGGGTGTAACAGGATGGCTTCTCGGTACACGTAAGATAAGAATGCAAGTCAAGTAAGAATTCGAGAAGTTGAATGAAACATTGCAACATTTCATAAAAGATAAATAAAGCTAAGATGTAAGACTAGAGAGTTTATTAGATTTCATAGATAAACTAGAAACTCTTGTGTAGTTGTGTTTACCTGCATTCGTGTAACAACCACCCAGATAGGGTTGGTCATCAACACATTAACGGACCTGCACATAATGATCAAACCCAAAGGATTAAATTGCATATAACAGTGAGAAAATAAAACTCAACAAGAATATTGTTTTTAAGGTATAAAAGCTGAAATGTCCATAAAAACATTACAATGACTTGAAGCCAGTTGAACCGACAAACAAAAGCAAATTACCCAGCTAATGCAGCCACCACAAGTGATGAAAACATCCCAATGGATCCATCACCAAAACCTTTCCTCTGACGTTTAAGTGCCTTAGCTTGAGCTCTGTCCCTAAATATTTGATAGAAATAATAATATACACCCTGTAGCATGAAACACACGCATATAAGCAATCCCAACTGAAGAAGCAACAGCAAGTTAATGGATTAAATAACAAGTTATATTGAAACAAAAATTATCCAATATTCAAACCACTAACTAAGCAAGAATCAGAAAAGATAATTTTAGTTTTGGGAACCACTGAGCAAAATGCACCAGGACAGTCTATATTAAGATTTTTACAATGAATATAAGACATCATGGGCATGCTACCGTCTGCAATAATAGACGACAGTGAACACCAAGTGCCATTGGAAACAATATTAACGGCAAATATGAAACGGGATCAGCATCAGCCACTCCAAACACAGTCAATTGCACTGTTGACAGCACCAGCATAAAATTTGAGGTAGAAAGCGAGACATCAGTTCACACTTATCAACTACTTGTACGACAACAACTCATGCATCATGAAACATAATCAGCATCAGCCACTCCAAACACTGTCAATTGTACTGTTGACAGCACCAGCATAAAATTCGATGCAGAAAGCACGGCATCAGTTCACACTTATCAACTGCTTGTACCACAACAACTCATGCATCATGAAACGTAATCAGCATCGGCCAATCCAAACACATTCAATTGCACTATTGACAGCACCCGCATAAATTCGATGTAGAAAGCACGACATCAGTTCACACTTATCAACTATTTGTACCACAACAACTCATGCATCATTTTCACTGGAACTTTCAAGCTCCTTATCAACGACTCATCTGCATAACTAAACAATACAATGGCGTAAAACAGAACAACTAATGAATTGCTTCCCTATCACTAGTAAGCTGGAAAGCAGAATTCTCACCTGGGATGCAGCAGTTCCTACAATTGATGGAGTTAATCCTCCGTACAGTCGCCCCCATCCTTCATGCCTCACAACCTACATAATCCTCCAAACAGACCAAAATAAGACTAAAGAGACTAATACATGGCCACTTTATCTTCCTATTCCAGTCAACGCCGGATCCAAATTCACAACACGAAAACAGAAACCACGAACGAGTCCAAACCCTAAAATTCTCCGGAAATCAGAAGGAAAGGAATTGAATTAACAAAAATGACTTAGAATTGAGAAGGAATTCCAACCTGGCACATTTGCTGTATGGTGCCGACAGTCTTCTTCTGTTGTTCCTTCTGCACGCCCCGCTCCGTTTGCTGCCGAGTATTTACCTGGAGAAGAGACATTTTACCATTAACCGATTAAACTGGCAATTCCGGCCGAACAGGGATGGATGGCGGAGGAGGAAAAGGAGTAATCAGGATGGCGTACGGTTTGAAGAGGATAAGTGATGAGCTGAGCGATGATTCCACCGCCGGCCCCGGCGAGGCCATTGATCAGAGCGTCAGACATGGCCGGAATATCGCTGAACCCAACTCTTTCGATTTTGTAACCGAAACCTTTGTATAATTGATGTTTGCCCGTTTGGGGACCTTCTTCCCGGGAAAGCGGAAGAATGACAGAGATGCAGGAGCAAGGAAGGAAGGAAGAAGGAGAGAAGAGGGATGGAGTCCTGGATAGAAGTGAGACTAATCTCTGACTTTACCTACATCACACATGCCGAAGTGATCGGAAGGGAAGGGGGGCGCATTCTTTGTACCGCTAGCCAGATTCGCCATTTTCTCAATCTGATATTTTTGTTTTCCATTCGGAAAATTTTCTTCCTCTATCTGTGTTGGCCGTTGAGAAAGTCCAATTAGCATTTCTAAAAAATCTCACATATGAAGAATACAAGCCTACGTAGATAAACTCAGGGGCCGCAGCCCATTAAAAAGGAGACTATTGTATGAGCCCAGCCCAAAAGAGAATGGAAACCAGAAGGCAACTTTCCTTCATCACAAACAATTCAAGGAGGATTAGGTTTTGTATCATGCCCAAAGAAACATGTAACTTTTAACAGAAGCATGGTTGGTGCCTCATTGTTTAATTACGAAATCAGGATTCACTCCATTCATGTTTATGGAAATAGAGTATATTATGCTGCTAGACATTTACTATGTTGCTCTACTATTTGTTGCAAGAAATTGATCACTTTTATAGGAGATAGTATGATACATCGATAATATTAATGTTAAAGAAGGCGCAGTGACAAATCGTCTCACCTAGATCTTAGACAGACAATTAGTCATTTGTAATGCCTATACAACTACTATACGAAGTTAGGCACGATTAATTGGCAGGTAGGAGTGGCGGTTCGGTTATAACTGGTAACTGATCAGCTGGTTATCGGTTAACCAAAATAACCACCCCTCCTACCGAAAACTCATCGAAATAGGTTTCGGTTTCTCCGTTATCTCGGTTATCGGTTAATCGAACCACTATTAAGTCCACAAACCATTTCGTCCAGCCTCTGATAACCAGCCGAAGTTCGGTTACTTCAGTTACCGGTTAGTGAATAATCGATTGGTTATCGGTTTAACCGTCCGGTTAACCAGTAACCGATAACCAAACTGCCACCCCTATTGGCAGGAGTTGTGGTTAATCGAAGTGAGATACTCTAAAACATGCTGACAGGCCAATGATTAAGAAAATTTGTATTTAATTTTCTGAAATGACTTCTTCGGTTATTCTCGAGCTCCGTCGACCCCATCCTCTACGCTACTCTTCACCATCGTAAATATAGGAAATCATAACATATTTTGCTTGTTGGTGAGTGTTAGCTAAGTTACTTATCATTTTACATTTAACTAAATTAAAAAATCTTACAAAGTTGATATTTCAACTAAAATCGATATTTTTACTTAAAACGCCTAGGGGCCTTATAGGCAGAGTCCCAACACCTGCCTAGCGCCTTCTTAAATCTCGAATAATATGCAAAATCATGATAACGAAAATAATCATGAAATTGAAAATATATTACTACACAAGATACAAAGTTTGCAACAAAAAAAAAACATGCACAATTACTAGATGCAAGGTTCCTTATATAAGATATTTTACCACTTCCTTATTGATTGAATCTGGATTATTTCCCTAAATACAGTAAAAATTAAAAGTAATTCCCATAATACATCACTTTTATAAATATTTCCCAAACTACCAAAGTTTGAATCGGTTCGAGTTTAACAAACTCAAACTAGGATCAGATCGATTGCCAAGGGATCAATCCACGTGCATCGAGCGAAACAGCCACGATTGGCAGGAATGGGACGACGCGGATCGAGTGTGTTAAACTCGATTTATGTGGATCGAGTACAAAACACTCAAACAAGGTGACATGGATCGCTGATATATGCAGCGCTCCACCCTAGATTGAGGTAAAGGGGATCGATCTACACCGTTCGATGGCCACATCCGCGATGAAGTGGTGACGCGGATCGAGCGGGGATAACTCGATGCAGGTGGATCAAGCGCTTGGAAATCGATTTGCTTGACGCGGATCGATGACGTCAGACCTGCTCCGCCATAGATCGAGTTTGCATAACTCGATCTGGTCGTTCGATTTGCCTACACTCGAACTCCTTTTGACGCGGATCGAAGGCGGAAAAATCGATGTTGTGGTTCGAGTCCCCTAAACTCGATCCACCTCCTCCCACTGCACCTATAAATTCCCTCTTCCATTCCACCAAATCCCACACCACTCCATTCTTCTTCCTCTATTACTCTCACCACTCTTGAAGAAAAAAATATGCTATGTGGTTGCGGCTAAGCCCGATCTTCCGCATCATATTTTTTTCTTTAGTTTGGTACTTCTATCACTCAAAATTGTCCAGATGGATCCGAGTATTTACGATCTAGATTATACATTCAAGGCGGACCGCGAGAAACCGATTTGTTGGATGAGCAACCTTACCATCGGTCTGAAAGTGTTTGGGCGGCAGATCCGGTAAGCACTTCCTCGTGTACTTTTCTTTTTTTAAATTCGACCATTCCACCCAATCTTTAAGTCGAATTTTCGAAATTTTCTACCCATGTCTGCAGTTTATAGAAGCAGCTCATTACTTACTGTACAAACAATACTAAATTAATCCAAAATTCTAATATGCTCATTCAAACAACGTAAGCAGAACTTACCTCCAAAATTTTTCTTCTTTGCTCAGCTATGGTGCTCCAGCAGCTGCAGTTTGTGTTTGGAAGAAAGAAGATAGAAAGGAAGAGAGCTGCCAGAATGTGCTAAGTGATGGCTTTTTATCCTCGTAAACTGATGGAGTGGTTTGAGTCCAAAAAACTCGAACTACATTAGTTCGAGTCCATTAAACTCGATCTAGGGCAACCAATAATTTTACCCCTGCACCCTATTCCGGAGCATGTCGGACCGAAAGCGACTAGACAGAATGATTGAGTAGTAGTTCGAGTTCAGTGTAATCGAACTACACTAGTTCGAGTCCCTAAAACTCGATCTATGACAACAAAGAATCTTATCCCTGCAACCCTATCCTGAAGCATGTCGCTGGACCAGTGGTTCGAGCCCATTGGAAATCGATTTAGGTTGTTCGAGTCTTAAGGCATCGATCTTGTGCAGATATGGATCGAGTGCTTTAAAGTCGTTGTACTACAACGAGGTTTTTGGCATCGATCTAACTAGATCGAGTTGTCCATACTCGATCTACTATGATCGAGTCTTTTGTCATCGTTCTACTTTGATAGATTTCTCCAAAATCGAACTAATGTTGATCGAGTTTTAGGAACTCGATTTAATTTCAGTTCGAGTTCTTCATCGTCGAACTGGAGTGTAGTTCGAGTTTATGGGACTCGAACCCTCTGAAACTTAGGTAATTTGGGAAAATTTTATAAAACTTATGTATTCCGGGAATTATGTTTAATTTTTACTGTTTGGGAATTCAATCTCAACTCATCAACAAATATTGACCCAAGAGGCCTCCTCTCCACCACGCGCGCTTCCACGATCTCAACATTTTCAATCTTTTATAAGCTTGGTCTCCTGGTCTTTTCGAATTGTGGGGTAGTCGCTCTCGCTCTTGTGGGGGCACCGGCGGCCCGCCATTGGCAACCGGAAATAGAAGAAGCTCCGTCCGTCTTTTCAACTCCGACAGGGTGGAGACTGGAGAGATTCCCCTCACCCGCTGGCGTGGACGGCAGTCAACTGCGGAGGACCCTTGGTCATGGGTTGATTCTTCTTTCTTTCCCATGACGGGGAACAGAACGGATAATAAATAAATAAATAAATAAGTCAATTGTCCACAAAAGCGGCGGGTTGTGGTTACTGATTAGTTTCGCTGTATAGCCGTCCCTCCATTAATTAATTGGGGTTAGTGATATTTAATTAGTAATTACAGTTGCAACTTACTCTGCCAAACAGAGCCCTCAAGTTGTGTGCTTACGTGAGGCCAATTCTTCCCAAATTCAACATGAGCAAAACGAACGTCTGTCTTGGTAACGAGAAACCAAAATTCACCATTTAGAATTCTGAAATCATCAGTAACAAAAGAACAAAACTGTATATCACATAGAAGGTTACAAAAGTAAAAATATCATATTAGATAAAACACCCCCGCCCGGACCAGTTTTCCCAGCCCAAGCCCACTGAACTCAGTCTCCTCTCTTTCTAAAAACTAATCAGCTCGAAACATATTGCATGAACTCGCGGTCCGCTTCAATCGCGGCCATCGTCTCCGGCGCCAAAACAATCTCCAGATCGACGGTCCCGCCGCCTTCCCTCCCAGGAAAAGCCGACATCTTCCCGTCGAACTTGTTCGCCCTCCCGCTCCTCACCGCCAGCGGCCGGCCCCACCCGAAATCATTATCGTACATCGGGAACCGCGGCGAGCTCCCCATCGTCATCGACGCCCCGTCCAGATTCCCCAGCGGGAAGCACCTTGGGCTCGCCTCCCAATCCTTCACCACGCTCCTCACCTTCGCGTCGTCGTACGCGCTCACGCTCTCGTTCAGCCTCTCCGCCAGCCACCGCATCCCCCGCGACGCTACTTTCCCCGCCGTCGCGTGGCAAGGGATGCTCTGGATCGCGTTCCTGAAGTACAAGGGGTCCATCTTGGGCTCCACCCTGTGACGGCAGTTCACCGCCATCCGAAACGTCGTCGTTTTGGTCAGACTCAAATTCCTCGCACGTGCCACCGCGCGCCACACCAGCGCGCACAAAGACTGAAACGACGAGATCTCCATCTCCTTTTCCTCCAATACGACGCCGTTCGACAGCAGCTTATTCTGCTGGTTTGAATTTTTTGAATAATAAAACGGGTCGTTCCTCTGCTTCCCCATCATCTCCACCGGGTCGAACTCGTACCCGACCCCAACCCCGATCCACCCGGCGCTGTCCTTCTTCTCGTTGACAACCGCTTTCAGCTTCAGAACGGCTTCACGACTGAATCTAAAAATCCGCTCGCTAAAAGGCGCCGTTTTGTCAAAGGTGACACATGGCCAGCCGCGAGGGAGTCGGAGGACGGCGGAGGACATGAGAGGATTGTCGCCGTAGCGGGTGAAGTCGGGTAAGCAGGGGATCCGCTTCACCCCGCGTGCGACCCGGGCGAATGCGTTGTAGAAATTCCAGAAGGAAGTGCCGTCGCAGACGGCGTGATTGACGGAGCAGCCGATGAAGACGGCGCCGTCGGTGAGCTCGGTGACCTGTACGGCGAGGAGGGGGAGGTTGTGGCCGTGGTAGCTGACGGTGCGGTCGTGGGAGAAGAACCCGTTGACGAAATCGGGCGCCCGACCCGACCCGAGGATGTGGGCGGCGGAAAGTCCGGGGGCAGAGGCGTGGATGAAATCGGTGCCGGCGTCGTTAGAGGTGATGTAGACGTGGCCGGTGGCGGGGTCGGTGGAGAGGCGGCCGGCGAGGGGAGGGAAGAGGGAGAGGGTATGGGCGAGGGAGGATTGGAGGAGGAGGAGGGAGGCGGAGGAAGGGGAGGAGGCGGGGCGGGAGAAGAGGGCGCCCTTTTGGATGTAGTGGCAGGAGAGCATGGGGAGGTCGGAGGCGGAGAGCTTGAGGTCGGCCATGGTGGAGGGCTGGTCGGGGACGACGTTGCGTTTGGAGAGGAGAGTGACGGGTGGGGTTGATGATGAATTGAGTGGAGCGGCAGGCATTTTTGGATAATGGTGGAATGAATTGGATTGTTTTTGTTTTGGGGTTTGTTTCTCTCTCTCGGTGTGGAATTTTGGGACAGAGTAGAGAGAGAGAAGTGAGGATGATGATGAGAGAGCTGAGGAAATTGGGACAAGTGGAGAGGGGTATTTTTATAGGGTGGGGAAATTGGGATTCATGAACCCTTGCTGAGGTGGCAATTTATTGTTTTCTTTCTGTTCTTTCTTTAATGAGATGATGAAGTCGTGTGAGGGTTTTTATTTATTTATTTTGTCAATTATTATTATTACTTGTTATTTCCAATAATTGGGGTTTTCTTTTTTGTATATTATGTGGATATTATTTATAAAAAAACTCCAACTGTTATAATGGTTCTCTTTTGGCGACTTGGGTAAAAGAAACCGGTGATTGTCCTTCTTGGAATGATCGATGAAATCGTATTGGAGACCATATTGAAAAAGTCAGCAATAAGGTATTAATTCATGATTTAATCATAATTTAATTGTTATTATCATTAAATATCGCTTATCGATTTAGGCTCCGATATTATTATATTGTGGTTGAGTCGTCGATACGATACGATTTCAAGGATCATGCTTCTAGGCTCTAGGGGATTTGTGGTAACTCGCACACACATTCAAACCACGCTCCCGGGCAAATGAGTCTATTGCTGCAAAGTTCGGGTCAAAATGTTAATTTCTCAAACCACGGGCCAAAGTTGATTATATGATCATAGTTGGGGCCAGAATAAGGTATTAACCCTAACAAATAAGTGATGTTCTTCTTTCCAAGCCGAAGTGTTATAAGTGCCGACGAACTGAATTTGCACACCTGTACATTGATTTCACATTTATTGTTCTATATAGCTGTATTTTCCGGGTAACTCATCATATGGTGATGTTTGTAAACAGAGCTCAAAGTTTGATATAAGTGTTTGGGATATACAAATGTAATATGAAATTTATTCACATATTACCGAATACTGAGTTATTTTGTAGAGTTGAGATTGGTATTATATCAAAATATCAAGAAATATTTAAATTTACAACTAATAAATATATGCAACAACCTTTAGTATGTCCTCACTCTTTGACAACTCGCAAATCCCCCATCAAACCCGAGTTTGCCTTTCCCCTTTTCCTTTTCCTAGCTAGCTCATTCTCGTATCTCACTCGACTTACTATTTTCAGGACACAAAAAACTCGCACTCTCATTAGTTGTCTCTCAACATTCAATTCATCAAATAAAAAATGATTAGTGATAAAATATAGAAATATCACCATCTCCTCCCTTCTTACATATGCCTTCACTCGCCTCTAGGCGAACTCAATATCATTTGCCTAGTTTTTTAGCCCAGAGAAGAACTTGTAATGAATCCAATCGATAAAGACTTGACCAAATCCATTCAAAAAGGGGGACTTTGTTTAGTTTTTATTATACTTTTCTCACCTCAATTTCTAATCGCCAAAATTCTCAATCATAAAATTAACCTACAAGCCTGCAACAAATAATAATCGTCGATATTATGAGTGTTCTAACCATTTTTTATTTATATGCTCAATTATCAGTTGCAAAAGTAAATATTTGATATTCGAGAATATCAATTCCATGCCAAAATTATACTTTGAAGTTGGGAGACCAAACTTATTATCGGAATTGGTATGTTTTTCATCGGAATATGTTAGCCTCGTGTTCGAACTTGGAATTTCTCTCTAGAAAATTTCCACCATGCCATCCCAAATATATTAGGCAGCCATGGTGGTTATTAAATAAAATCAGATGCAGCCTATAAAGCGAGAAACCCAAAATATATACTGGTCCATAGCTTATGATATGCATTATTATTAATTGACTAGGCTTTAAGCAAACAGATCTTATTCAATCTGATTGCCATATCTGAGTTAATCCTGAAATCTTATTACCATATCTTACCTTCGTATCTCTGGAAAATCAAATCAAACTTGGTCGTGGGTGATCTACTATAATCCACCTTGAACTATTACAGAATGCCCTAATACGCGAGATTTGCATCCCCCTCCAAATTTTGGTAACCACCAGATTTTGTGTCGACACAATCCCCATGGACTTTATAACGAACAACTATAACTAATAACTCATAGCTACCTTCAAGTCATACAATGATCCGGAGTAGTAAAATGTGTACTAAATCATATATCGTTATCCGTCGAAGTTGATCAAACTAAACTTTTAGGAAGGGCGCTCATACCATGTAACTACAACAATATGTTTTTTTGTTAGTTGTTCTAGCGTATGAATCAGAGCTATCTCGAGGGAGGAGTAATCCCAAAACACAAATTGCCCTCTCCTTCAATTGAACTCGATCTCTTGTTATTTGGACTCCATTTGTGCCCCTCCACTGCTCGAACATATGCATTTCCGACTAACCATCAATATGATCTGGTTTCGATCTACCATGGCCTGCCCCGGTATCGTTACCATAATATTGATGTAGGCAACAATTAATAAGCTAATATCTTATAGGGTCTCACACATTATCTACAGTCAATTCCTCGCAGTTAATAAATAAACTCAAAATGTTGAGAAACAATTATAGTAAAATTAATAATGCATCATCATCTTCATGCATCAATCACGAATTCCTTAAACATGCATTTAGATGTGTACATAAGTGAGATTCTACAAGATTCCATGCATGTCTAATACAATAATAATAACCTTCTGTTTGTTGGCTGTCATTCTTGCCGATCCCCAACAAAGGTCGGCGGTTCCCAAGAATCTTACAAGCGTACTTAAACCCCAGTGTTTAATTTTAGCTAGCTAATACTGAACTGTCTTCCCCCCTTACAAAAAAAAAAAAAAAACCATTGATTAATTACGGCTACTTGCTCGCTAATTATTAACATGCTCTTCTGTCTCAGATTTATGGGGGGAAAGGTCGGTTATCCTTACAAACCGCCATTTCTGATTTGTCGGCGCCTGGAAAACAATATTAAATTCCCTAATGGCCAAGAGGATCCCTCGATCTCTACTCTATTTTAGGGGTGGGCAACGGGAAACGGGTATTTGGGTATACCCGTACCCGTCCCGTTTTTTAAGGGTTACGGGTACCCATATTACCCGTAATATTTTAAACGGATGGGACTTGGGATTGTACAGTCCTAATATGGGTAGCCGCGGGTTACCCGCGAATACCCGTTTGGGTAATATGGGTACCCGTTGTACCCATTCAAATTACAAAAACATATAATTCAGCCCAGCGCCCAGGCCCAACCCAATTCAAAATCCATTAAAATTACAAAATCCATTTAATTCAGCCCGTGAGAGTTGAGACGCTGACGCACCCCTAGGCCCTAGAAGACGCGAGACACGCGACGGCAGGCGGCAACTTCTCTGGAATTTGGAAAGGTCTGTCTCTGTCTTGTGTCTTTAGGTTGTAGGAATTGGTGTAAGTTGCTACTTGTGCAGCCATTTTGTGTTTTGAAATGAATGCTTTGGATGTAATTGACTAATTGTCTTTAGGTAAAATGTCATTTAAACTTTGGGTATTTATGTAATACGCCCCTGGGGGTGTATGTTTATCAAAGTAACGCAGTATACGACTCAATCGAAGAATCGATTGAGCTCGAATCAAGAACGAAGCGCTCTTAATACGAACTTGGGATAAAACGGAACCAAAAGGACAAATCCACACCTGGGGATAGCTCGATTGGTATAAAAGGGTAGTTGCTCGACCACGATTGAAGTGACTATTCAATCGATACACAAGCTCAGCAAGTTTGGAATCCACCAAACCCAAAACAAGTCGCAACTTGCACAAACCAAACGGTTTCTTTTCTATTCAACAAAGTCTGCCTTTTACAACGAAATAGAACGGTATTTAAAGGCAAATAAAACCTAATACAAACCTAGATTAACAAGGAAACAAATAAGGTAAAAGTCTACTCTAAAAAGGTTACGAAATTCGGGTTTAAACTCCTTTTCTTCAAGCGCAAGTAAGCTGCCAGCAAACAGTCAAAAGGCAGCTTTCGTACTAACTTCGCGCCTTTCGTTCGAGGCCTTCCCGAACTCCAATCTTTCATCCGATTCCTTCCCTTGGTAGATAAACATGCCTAGTTTCATGTTGTGGAAGCCTTTGGACTTGAATCAGCTCCATGCTCCTTGAACTGAGCTCCAAAGTAGGCTTCACAAAACAGTTTCCAGACTTAACCATTTTCTGGCAGTTTTCCAGTTTTGAGGTAGCAACTTTGAGGACTTGGAAAACAACCTTAATGACATCTTCTGGATCCATAAAGCATACCATTGGAAAGATGGTAACTTTATCTGCAACACAAACCCTTAAAATTGAATTTCCACCAAGCCAATTGAGAGAACTATGCCTCCAAAGTATGTACCCTGAACACGGATTTTGACTTAGCCAAATTCTGCCTTTCTTCTTCCCAACTTTGATAGCTTCTTTGTCAAGTAATTTTGATGTGAATGATGGGCAATTTGGGATCATATCAGGCCCTCCCTCTTGAAAAAGTGTTGCCCTCAACACTTTAGCCTTTCGTTGCTCAAACTGTTCACAGAATTGATCCCAAATTGGATCAAAAGAAGCCTGGTCCAACACAATTTTCTGTAGAATTTTAACACCATCAATGGCAGCTTCAATCCGTTCCAGCAGGTTTGGAACTTGAAACGAGGTTAAGCACACTTCTTGACATTGATTAGAACCTGTATCAATGACCAATTTCACTGAAAATCGATCGTCGAAATTCCCAGGTCGTCGGATGTCACTTTCATACATGTTCTTGCTCGAAGGAATTGGGGGTTTTATATGGAGGCATCCCCAATCCAATTCACCTTCTCCAAGCTCTTCGCAAGGCTTCCAATTGAAGCTTGGATTATCTCTCCAGCTTCGACTAATCACCAGCGCCTGTAAATCGTCGATTTTGAAGTTCCCGCCTTTGCCGAGTTTCAAATGCCCAGGACTCCGAAAGTGCAATCTCGATTTGGGGCTTTTTGATTCCGTCATCTCCGAATCAAATTGATTGATTCTAAAGCATCCAGGGAGTGAATGTGATGATTCTGAAGCATTGATTCGGCTCGAATGGAGCTGGTTTGCTCGACCCAATAGAGGGTCCTTGTCCTCGTTTTCCGTCA